TTAAATTAAATAGGAAAATAAACGGGGTCGGGGTGTTACAGAAATACTACTGTAACTCTAACACTCCCTCGCCAACCGAGCGCGCACAACATAGCAAGATTTGAATGAAGGAACTACATGGTGATGAAGATGGCGGCAGTTATTGGCTGTAGTAGTCCAATAAGGGGAATCAAAAAAGAACTCCAATCTCCAGAGTTGCAACAACGGCATGAGAAAAACAAAGTAAACATAATGCTCATTGAAAGTCAACAGGTGAAGGAGCACATGGGTTCATAGAATGAAGGAATACAATGACAGACTGACATACAAGTCAAATGTACCTAGGAAACACAACTCTAGGTACTTGAGAAACAAAACTCTACATAGGAATCACCCTTTAGGTAGAATAAGGAGAAATAGCAATGTTGTAAAGAGTTATGAGAAAGAAAAATAATTCAAACAAGTGTATTTTTAAAAATTTTACAATTATAATAAAGATGAGGAATGGAAACAAAAGAAAATTCATCACATGAAAAGCAGAAAGGGATGCGTGCAGAAAGAGTAGAATGAATATTTGAAGGGAATAAAGGAATTGAAAGAGGGTGCGGCAAGTTTGACATAAAGGGATACGAGGTTAAACCAACTTGGGACACAGGGAAAAGAAAAAAAGAGCATGGGCAAATTGAATTTTAAAGCACCATATAAACAATTTTGGTCACCATGATTGTGGTGTGTTAAATTGGTCACTTCAACTTTAACTTTCCACAACATTGTCGAGTGTTAAATTGGTCCGCCACAATGATAATGGACACTAGTGCTTCTCAGCTCAACCACCCCACTACCAAAAAGCAAAAGCGCTTTCGTAGACACTCAAGACTACTCTCCTATCCCATTTAGATATTGGATTGGAATTTTCTGTCTATGGCCATGGGCCCCTATTGTATGTATCAACTTTCCCATCGCAAACACAAAACACAAAGGTATCAACAGATCCCGATGCGGATAAGAAGAAGATATGAATAATACATATGTAGCAGAGTCATTTTACCAGCATCTATATATATAATTTTCAGCCAATACACGATTTTAAAAACATTCTTCAGAATCGTTGCACCAAATCATTGCAGTAATATGCGTTTCAGAATTTTTCAAACACTTCTACGCTACGATGATATCGCTTTTGTTGATATTGTTGGACACTGTTTCAGGGAAACCACGGAAGTCGCCATGATCTTGTTGTGTTGTGTGGAGATGGAGCTGCTTCTTTCCGCTGAAGCAGGGAGAACAGACACAGTACACCTTCCTCCCACACCAGCCATCTTTTGTGCTTCTTCTTCCGCCGTCAGCCTTGCTTGCACTACACCCATCCATTGAAGGAAACTTGTCTTGTCTTGTAGCTCTGCACCAGCACTGCAGTGATTCTAAACCTCTCAATGGGGACCAACTCCAAAATTAAGCTAATTGATCACCAAATGTAATTCAAAAGAAAAGGAAAAGAAAAAGCACAACAATGAAGTTGTAGCTCAAGTAAGTTTTTCAGTACAAACGATTTGGGGGAGAAGGGGTTTATACAAATATTCATTGGATGCTACTTGGATGGTTTTGAACCATAGCAATTGTAGCTCAAGTAGTTAAAAACAATTTACCCTTACTTTTGAGACATTCAAGAAGAAAGAAAAAAAAAACTAGTAACTTCATGCATGTCAATGTGACATGATACAAAATACACTAAATTTGGGCTTTTCAGTATGAGTTTGAGAATGGGCTTAATCTTATTGCATGGGATAGTTGTACCCAAGCAACATCAGAAAATTTGGACCCAAAAAGAAAACATCTGAAAAAATGTCATGATCTAGAACTATTGCATTGCATTGCACGCCTCAATATTTTATGCCAAGGTATCCTACAATTGGAAAGGTTTTTATTTTCCATATTTCTTAATTTATTAGTATTATTTTTTTATAAAAACTTTATAAATATTTTATTGTAATTAAGGATATAAGTGAGTTGTGCCATATTATTCTTTAAGAAAAATTAGTATTAGACATAATTAACTTTATTAATTAGTATTTGAGACACTGAGTATTTTAGTTAATTATGTCAAATACCTAATTTTTCTTCCAACTACTGAATTTTATAGTTTACTATTCAATTTTCTAACCATAAAAGAAGGAGAAGGGAGGAAGAAAGGAAATTGTCAATCCTGATGCAAGTTCAGACGCTAACCTGAACAATAAGCATGACCTCTGCAATATTGGCCTCACAATTTTCAGCATCAGAGGCCATGCCTAGTCTCCTCCCTTCTCGAACCTAAGAAGACAAATCATGAGACAGCAAGCTCAATAACTGGGACGAAAATATTACTTTTAAGGTGTATGTCAAAAGTAGGTTGAGCATTCCCTGCTTGGCAAAAGAGTGATACTTATCATACATAACTTTTGCAAATAGACCCTCAATTTGCAACACCTACCGTCAGTTGACGCCAGAATCCAATATTCTTAAATCTGTTCCAAACTGGTAAACTTGAATGTTGCAGAAACTCCTGAAAGATAGGGGCATATTTGCAAGAAATTCTGGAAACATTTGGGCAGTCGAAAGGTTCTTCAACTGCTGTAACACCCTCCCTGGAAAGATTTTATTTAGTAAACAAATCAATGTCAATAAAATTTTCCATTGAATGTGGATTGCCTAAAATTTCCAAGCATAAACCCACAGTTATTTTTCCTTGTAGAGAATATCCAACTGAAAATTCCACACTTGTTACTATATCCGTTTACAACTGGGGATGCTAGTATACCCTCTAAACTGCATGGAAGACCACCTACATGTCGTGCGCAGCGGAAGCGTATTGCACATGGAATGTTGTATATGAAACCGTTGAAACAACAAGAGCAAAATATGAAATACAAAAATCTAAGAGACACAAGGATTTATTCTGGTTCGGCAGCCTACATCCAGTTCGAAGACAGTGAGAAATTCCACTAGTATCCCAAAAAGAGATTACAACCAAAGGAGATTATTAACCCATATCCTAGGGATTACAGAGTTTAACTCTCACAACCCAAATCCCAAATACACCCAAGTCACTCTCTGGCTAACCACACACAAGAGCCAAAAACACAAGAATTGTTCTTGCTCATTAAGAAAGAACACACTAAGAACAATACAAAAAAATAAACCTCCCACAAACACAATTGAATAAATGAAGAAGACTCAACCTTCGAAATGGCTTGATCTTCCTTGATCATCTCGTGTAGCCAAAAAGAAGTTTATCTCCACCATCATAGTGATGCTCTATAGTATTTCTCTCTGTGTGGAAGTGTCCCTCACTTCTGTTTTAGCCTATCTGAGCAATGGTGCTCACGACACCTCCAAATGGTGCGGCACAAATGCCCACCACCTCTTGCGCCTTGCTTACTGCATATTAATAGGTCATTGGCTCAATGTGAAAAGCCATTGGCTCACGTGAAGACCTAAATGTCTTCAATTCAACCACTCATTTAATGCAACATGACTTCCTCCAAAAGCCAAATCTTTCCCACGTGATTTGCTGCACACACAACACAAAATTTGATTTCTTCTTACAAAGGTTGTTGCTCTCCTCCAAATAAAATAATGTCAAAGCCACATTCTTTTATACCAAGTGTGGCAGCCACTATGAAGAAACCACCGACAGATGTGGGTGCACTTTGAGCCAACAAAGTCAACAATAGTTGCTGGATCACATGCCTTCAATGCCATCAAATTCGAGCCAAATCCAACAATCTCCACCTTGGCATAAATTTACCAAGCCACAGTAGAACTTTCTATCGTCCATCTTCCTCTTACCAAATCAAGCTCAAGCACTCCTTGAACTTGCAACAAAAAATGTGTGTTTCGATCGAACCGGATGACCCCAACAAAAGAACCTCTTTAATGTCATCCTCATAACCAAGCCACACCAGCTAAATGTACATGCATAAACCGCACAAACCTTAAACGCTTGAACCTCAAGCTTCTTCCGCTACAATACACATAGAGTCCAGACAACCAAGTAGCGGAATGAACAATTTCAGCTGCCATAGGTGGGAATCATCCTCCCGAAAGATAACCCCTTACAATCAAAACCCTTACTTGAAAATCTAATGATCAAAGGAAAAACCCATGTAGCCATAAACAATGCTACCCAAAGTAGATAGAGAAAATCAAAGCAACGAACTACACACTACCCACAAGGAACACCCAAGAAAAACTCTTGAAATTCCACCATGAAAGAAAATTTCAAAAGTCATCAAAGACAAACAAAAATCACACTCCAAGCACGGCACACCGGAATCATTGATCATAGGAGGAACATAATGATTATCCTCCCTACGACATCCACAAAAGCACCTGCAAGAGGAATTATCAGACTTGTCTCTTTCCTTGATTTATGGGCAATCAAATCTCCAATGCCTTTCCTTGTGAAAAAGTTGTATTTGTCCTTCTGAACATTCGCCTTGGAACGTGACTTTCCTCCATTACTGCTTGATCCTTATCATCCTATTTTCATAATCATGACCTACACATTCATGAAAATCTTATTGAACTCAACAAGATAGTTGTGACTAAGTGTACCTTCCGCCATACCACTGAGTGTACAATCATTGTTTGGCATACAACCGATTGGAAATGATTTGGTCATATATGTATTCTCCACCATTTCAGCCATAGCCCAGCATGTGCAGTCTCATCGGCAACCTCACGAAGAACACCGTCCGCTAACAGCAATCCAATCGCAGTGAGTGCCCGATTCAAGACATCATCCTTCTCCATCGTTGGAACACGTTGCTGGCCATGCTCAGATACCCTTTAGCACCTTTTGAGCAGCCCCTATTGCACTAACAAGGCAATCATCTTCAACACCAAAGTTTAGAATTTTTCTCCCATCAAAATAATTTCATATTTTCTCAGCACATCTCCTAGTTTCATCATCACGAACACAAAACTCCACCAGATCGAAAACTGGAGCTCTGATACCACTGAAACCGTTGAAACAACAAGAGCAAAATATGAAATACAGAAATCCTAGAGACACAAGGATTTAAACTGGTTCGGCCTGTGTGTAGGCTACATCTAGTTCGAAGACAACAATAAATTCCACTAGTATCCCAAAAAGAGATTACAACCAAAGAAGATTAACCCTCTCACATATCCTAGGAATTACAGAGTTTAACTCTCATAACCCAAATCCCAAATACACCCAAGTCACTCTCTGGCTAACCACACACAAGAGCCAAAAACACAGGAATTGTTCTTGCTCACTAGGAAGAACAATACAAAGAAATAAACCTCCCACAAACACAAGGAACAAATGAAGAAGACTCAACCTTTGAAATGGCTTGATCTTCCTTGAACATCTCGTGTAGCCAAAAAAGAGTTTATCTCCACTATCATGGTGATGCTCTCTAGTATTTCTCTCTGTGTGGAAGTGTCCCTCACTTCTGTTTTAGCCTCTTTGAGCAACGGTGCTCACGACACCTCCAAATGGTGCGGCATAAATGCCCACCACCTCTTGCACCTTGCTTGCTGTATATTAATAGACCATGTGAAAAGCAAGGCTTTTCTCATATACTCTACACCAATGTCGGTAGCCCACGTGAAGACCTAAATGTCTTCAATTTCAACCACTCATTTAATGCAACATGACTTCCTCCAAAAGCCAAACCTTTCCCACGTGATTTGCTGCACAAACAACACAAAATTTGATTTCTTCTTACAAAGGTTGTTGCTCTCCTCCAAATAAAATAATGTCAAAGCCACATTCTTTTATACCAAGTGTGGCAGCCACTATGAAGAAACTACTGACACATGTGGGTGCACTTTGAGCCAACAAAGTCAACAATAGTTGCTGGATCACATGCCATCAATGCCATCAAATTTGAGCCAATTCCAACACTATAGTAATTAAAAAAAATAGTGTGAACCCCTACTCAAATTTTCTGGAAGTACAATTTTGAGAAATAAGAAACCATTGGAGCAATCAAGAACTTTGCCCCATGTCAAAAATATTAATATAAACAATAAAACAAATATGTTTCTATAAGTTCACAGGAAACGTATCAACATCACCTATCTCCCTAGACTTGAGAAATCCATTCTGGAAGTGGAATACCATCAGGACAAGCTTTGTAAGCATTTCTAGTCTGAAAATAAAAGTCGTAGCAACTGAGAAGTTGGTTTCCAAGTGTGTGAATAAAGACATAAATGTCAATAACAACGCCAAAAACATATTCCTCATATCCGATATGTCTCTTGGAAAAAGAAGCTGTATAAGTTTTCATAGAACCAAATCCAATTACTAAATGAATATTGATTTTGATGGGGTCAGGCAATGATCTAATTTAGCTGCAACTTCTTATTATAAAGCTCACTTACTATGCATTTTTCTTGATTTGGAAATGGTTGATGCCATCACTGTCATATAATATTTTGCAATATCATTTAAGCTTTAATTCAATGAAATTTTGCACAAGTTCTGCATTATAGTTTTGCACAAACTACATTGCAGTCTTGGTAATTACAATTGAATTTTTGCTCTTTCCTTGGTCTTCAACCTCACCAATTTGAAGAGTAGAGGCTACCTAGATGAGGAATTGGGTGGGCAAGAGAAGAGTAGAACCGCCCAAGAGTAAGGGAACTCAAAATTGGACTTTTGGAAACTGCATTGCAGTTTTTATTTAATTACAATTGGATTTTTGTTCTTTCCTTGGCCTTCAATCTCACCAATTTGAAGGGTAGAGGCTACCTGGATGAGGAATTGGGTGGGCAAGAGAAGAGTAGAACTACCCAAGAGCAAGAGAACTCAAAATTGGATAAAATTGTTCATGTTGGTTCCTCCATTTTGCTTCAATAAAATTAATTTTTGTTTTTGAAGCTGTTTTTGTTTTATTTAACATAATTGATAGATACATTGTATTTTTGTTGCAGTTTTTATGTGAAAAAGTGTTGAAATGAATTTTTTTTTTAAATCGTTGATTGTTTATACAAATATTGTATAATTGAATAAATATTACAAATCAAGTTTGGTGTAGTGGTTTGTGAGTGAGCCTTCCTCCTTTGAGGGTCAAGGATGAGTCCATTCAATGACACAAAATCTTTTTTTTTTAAAGGTGAATAAAGGGCAACGGAGTTGGTCCCCTGCAGACGATGGCAGGCCGACAACGAGCGGTGACGGTGGTGGCAAGTGGGCGGCGGTGATGGCACAAAATCTTTTTTTTTAAAAGGTGAATAAAGGGCAACAGAGTTGGTCTCCTAAACCCCTACAGACAGTGGCAGGCTTGCGACGGGTTGTGGCGGTGGTGGCAAGTGGGTGGCGGTGGTGGGTGGTGGTGGTGGTTGGCTAGATATGGACATGTGGCATAGTATGCTTGCTTTAGAAGGAGTGGCATTGTGTGTGATTTTGATAATTTTTTTAATGATATTTTTGTAAAATTAGGTACTACATTTTGGTCTTTGGCCTTATGCTAATTAGATGAAATTGTATTCCTATCTTCCAAATTAGTAAACTATATTGTATTTTAAAACTAAAGCTCCCGAGGATGGGCTTAAAGTTTTAAGCG